GATGGAGAACCACATGACCGGCACACCTTCGACCGTTACCTCGAGTGGTTGCACAGGTCGACGTGAACACATATCAAGCCCCCCACACTGACGTCGCAATCGAGGACGAGTCGGACGACGAGGACATCTGCGATGTGTACGGCGTTGTGACTAGGATGGAGACACAGACAGAGAGAGCACCGCTATAGAGATATGTGGTAAGATATTTAAATATTCGCACAAGTAGTCACTCATGCATTCAAATACGTAGACTAATTGGGAGGTACTTGAATTGTGTGCGTAGGCCACACAGTTGTCAAGTCTCTCCAACGAAGCAGTCGTTTGACTTCATGAGACTAGAGGGGAGTAGTGGAGCATTCTTCATGTCTTTGTCGATGTACAATCTATATGCAATGCCATTATAATAAACCTCGGTCTACTTTATTTTTAATAATGACTAATTATTCTGTATCGCATAATTTCGCAGAAAGTGAGGAGGACTACTAGGAAGCTGGCTCAGAAGCTCAGCTGCATGGATACACTATGGGAGCCACCATACGACCTGGCGCTGTCTAGTCCCTTCCCTTCGAGCTCTTTGCCGACAGCAGCCGGTTCGTTTGACACAATGGCTGGTGCTCGTACTTCACTCCATCGCGGCAAGGGCCCTGCAGAAGGAGCGTCGGCATCAATGCACACTGCCTACGACGATGACGATGAGGACTACGACGATGACGACTACAATGAGATCAGCATGTCTCAGCTAGGTGGTGCAGCGCTTCCTACTCAGGGACATGAACAGGTACTCCCTATACCTTTTTGCCAAACTTTTGAAGTAAGGTACCTACGTATTCTAACTAACGATGCTTACCTTATACTTACAGGGTACCAGTCATGCACCATAGTTTTGCCGGGAGCCCCGACATCATGACCGCACCAACGTTGGGTTTACTCCTAATGTGCTACCTTCACGTCCGAAGGGACAGAGGCGTCCGCGGGACCCGTACAGTACTAGGACATAGGATTTGGAGTATCACTTATGTAGGAGGACATGGTGAATTGGACTTATGTAGACTTATGTTTATGGCAAACTTCTATTTGAGGACCTATGTACTATGGAGCTTATATAGTATGGAAGGTGTCGCAGTGATGAAGTTAGATTATCTCCTGTGCACTTAGCTTTGTTATCAAATTTTTTGTTCACCCGATGTGGCGAAATAGACGATGCGCTTCCATCTTATATCCAATCACGCCTAAGGGCGCGTTTGGTTCCGTGGGTCAACTCGCCTTGCCTTGCCTTGCTGTGCTGGCCTGAGTGACGAGGAGCTCGCCTAGCCGGGTGAGCTGTTTTCGCTCTCTCACGCTAGCAAGCCATTCCTCACCTGCATAGACTCCAATACACCTTGGTGAGAAAACCAAACACATGGACTCACTCGAAATCCTCTCCTAGCGATGCAACATAGCTCCGAGTAAAGAAAGAAAACATGCCCTAAGATTTTTTCTGGTTTGCCATCTCCATGACTGCCGCGCCATGCGGCTTGGCATGTCAGCCTTGCCGTGCCGTGCGGGGTGGCGTGGTGGCATTGCCGCACTAGGGAGGGTGGTGCGGCGGCCTTGCCGCGCCGTGCAGGGTGGCACGGCCACACCTGGCTGCTCGTTGAGCTGACCTCCCACTTATCTATTCTCACATTTTTAACTTTGTTTTTGCTTCATGTTTTATCGTATACTTTGCTTCAACGGACGATTGTCACTAGAGTAAACAGAGGGAGTCAAATAAGAAGCAGAGACTAGTACACCTATAGCATCTAGCTTTTTTAGTGATTTATCATGTCACCGTCGTGTAGCTGCCTAGACTTTTTAGGCTTGGTCTGGTCATGTCACCTATGTCGTACACTGCATGCTTCTTAGCCTTTTTAGTGAGCATTAGCATCGACCAACGTAGCCCACGTCCATGCCACTTCCTTTAAATCGACGCCTCCAACTTCTTCTTGGACGCTGAGGGCAGAACTGAAGACACCACCAAAGAGAAGAAGTGCATACCAATGTCGGCTGCATCAGGGAAGGGAAAGGGAAGTGTTCCGATAGTTTGGCCGAGATCTTATGGTCCAGATTGGTACCTAGATCCACTAGAGAACTTCCTATTGGAGGGTAAGAAGGATTTCTGTCCAACAAGTTGGTTGCGACCATATGATAACAGGAAAGAAGAGTGGCCAAAATGTTGCCACGGTGAGAACTGCGTAGTGCAGATGTATGACGGTGGCCTTCATGGAGGGCATCGGTTCTTCAGATGCCCTCGTGGATGGGTAAGTCATACCACGCATCTTATCGTAGTAGTCATCTTCTGCATACTAACAACATTACATATTGTGTAGAGCTTCGATGACAAGGACAACTATAGTTTCACTAGATGGGTTGATCCACCACCCATTTACCCGTACGAAGAATACATCCAGTACCTACAAAACCGCATATTTGACCTCGAAAGGAAGGTTGAAACCAAGTCCGCACCCAAAGAAGAAAACACTCAAGAAGAACAAGCACAAGATGTTCCGATGGAAAACAAGGCATTGTGCAATGATCCTTATTGCAAGTGCACCTGCCATGAAATTGGTACCATGGACAAGGCTCTTCATAGTTGTTCTCGCAGCAATCTGTTTTCTCTAGATGCGAGAGTGATTAGGACCTAAGTTATGTTGGGTGAAGTTTGAATAACTGTATCGCATGTCTTTGAATTCTTAGCATGTAGTTTGTGTGTTTGTTGTTTGGTTTAATTACCTAAGGCATGTTAGGTTTAGCTTAGGACCTCTTTACCAAGATTTCGTACAGGTCCTCACATGTCATTTCATGTGTTGTTTGTGTTTAATTATGTACTGCACTACTTCCTTACCTTTTAATTCTAGCACGTGAACTCGTTTGATTAACTGTGCAATATTGGAATGCAGATTATGACCACAATGAATGAAACAACAACACACTAAAAAAGTTCAGTACATGGGAACAACACACTGAAAAAGTGCAGTACATTGGAACAACACACTAGATCAGTCTGAAAGATGCAATAAATGACAACACACTGAAAAGTCCACTACATGACAACATTGTTCATTACTAAACATGAAACTATCAAATCTAACATACTACTGAGTGCAACGAGGCTACTTTCCCTTCCTCAAAGCATCAGGATTCTCCTCCATTGCCGCTTTCACATGGCGAACTCGCTCAAGCTTCTTCTCCTTTTCCTCCCTGCGCTGAGCAGCATGCCTCACTTCAGCCTCTTCTGCGTGCTCCTTTTCTGCTGCCTCCTCCTAGCGTCTCTTCTCGACCAACTCCTTCAGCTCCGCCTCTCACTCCTTCAATTTCCCTAGATACCACTTATCTTTCTCCTTGATCTCGGTGTCGATCCACTGCTCAAAATCACAAAGCGGTGGAGGGGTCTACAAAACATGCAACTATTACACATGCAACCTAATAAACCATACATGATTTCATATGACACATAAAAAAATATTGCACAATATCAGTTTATCACCATCAACCCAATGCGGATCTGACGAGGTGTAGGCTCAAATGCGTAATTGTCACACATCCAGTACCTCTGCTTGTACGTTTCCTCCTCATCAGAAATCGCTACCTTGCAAGGATCACCGCAGTAGCACATCGGAACTGGAACACCACTAGGAAGTGGCAAATGGGTGTATGCAGTTCCCACCAACGTCCAATTCCAAATTTAGAACAAATCAATCCTAGGGTTTCGATTTCGTTCTAGGAACCAAGAACAATAAAATTTACAAATCAATCGTAGGGTTTACCTTGGTTTCCAAGATTTACCACGCCTTGGCATCTCCGAAGGCCGATCTGGTCGGGAGGGGGCGGTGGAGGAGGGATTTCTAGAGGGGAGGTGGGCGAGATCTGGAGGAGGAACAAAGGGACTGAGGACTGAGGGAGACAGGACTGAGGGAGGGAGAGAGGACTTAGGGAGGGAGGGAGGGAGGGAGAGAGGACAAAGGGAATGAGGGAGGGAGGAGGAAGGGAGCCAGCGCGTGATCTGTACCAGCCCTTGCCGCGCCAGGCGGGAGGGCGCGGCACTGTCGTGCCATGCATGGTGGCGCGGCAGGGGCTGCCATGTCATGCATGGCGCGGTAGAGTGATTTTGCCGCGCCATGGCACTAGGTGCGGCCAAAAGTGTTAGTTTTAAAAAAATCAGTAGTGTGATTTAAAATTAGTTTAAAAAAATGTTAAAAAAATCCAGATTGGCCAGTGCCCAATTTCCGCGCCAGGTTTTGTCCAAGGAAAACGCGAGGAAACCCCTGAGGTTATGAGTTTCCAAACGAAGCCTAAGAGGGCCACTTATTCCTTCTATTCACAGCCTGTTTTTGAAAAATCACTTTTTTCATACGAGCTTAGATGGAAATGAAAATTACTACTATAGAAAAAATGGTAGACCTTTGCCATGACACCGACGAGACGGCACACCACTTGATATGACTGAGTGTCCCCAAAATACAGATTTGATTTGAGTATTACAGGTAGCATGACTAGCTTGTTGAAAAGATTTGGATTACTACTAGCAACTAGTATATCGCACGTGCTAACGCTACGGTAACATCTAAAAAAAATAAATAAATCATAAAACTACATTTAGATAGCATGTCAGATATGCAGCTCCATGTTGCTTCTGAATACTAGCATAATAGTAATATAACTATGGTACTGATACTTCCAAAAGAAAACTATTGCCTAGAGTAGGAATCTGTAAAGACTTGAAAGCAACCAGCAAACACTAATTCCTTCAGATTCGAACCACGTACAGGAATGAGCCCCTTCACAAACTTGTCACACACACATTGTATTCCAGACATTGACAAAACCTCTAGATGATTATTCTTCTATAGAGCAGGAAGAATCAGCATAGCATCCACGTTTGTGTAATCATCTATATACAAGTTCTCTAAGAACCGAATGTCGATTCCAGATGAAGTGAGAAGAGAACACTCGCACAGATTTAGGGAACAACCTGATAGCTCTCAACTTGCAAATTTAGGGGCCAGCCTGATAGCTCTCTCTTTTGTTATTTGTTTTCGATGTGACTCCATAGAAGCAGAAACTGATCCTGAGTTGTGCTGAATCTCTTTGGAATCCACAGGAACGAAATCTAGCTCGTCCTCACTTGAGCTCAGAGATGATAGACTATCTTCTGCAACCATCTTGACCCTAAACATTTTGTATAACAATGGCTAACTAAGTTGATTCAGACATAATAACCTCGCTGATTCAACAAAGGAACCCCACTGAAGCTATTATCAGTTTTCACTCAGATAGTGAAAGAGCAACACCAGTGTTCCTTAATAAGGAGCCCACCCATTCAAAATTTCTGCCATCAAACAAAAACTCTAGAGTCACTAATGCATTCAGGGTCTATTTTTATCAAGTGAGTTATTCTAAAATTCTCATACCCAAGCACTAATTTGGAGCAAGGGGAAAGAAAATACCTCACTGCAGTTTGACACTGCATGCAACAAGAAAAGGTAGTATCATCGCCACTGGAATATGAACCTGGGCAATATTGAGAAAATAACAGCAGTGAGCTTTTGTTCTTGTATAAACAATGAAATTGCAAATGTAAAATGGGTTATAAAATAAAATGCAAACTATATCATATAAATATAATTTAGCCCCTTCTTTTTGGAAAGGGCATAGCAAGTTATTTTCATGTGCATCCCTAAAATATTGTTAGCAAAAAAAAAATCATACTATGCTCAAGTTATTACCTTGCGGCTGCAATCTCAAGCCAAACAGTTAAGCATGAGAGAGGAGTTACATCGGGAAACCATGAAGCAATCATGGCAAGCAAAGACCACTGCATTTATTTTGCTTTAATTAGGAGTGCCTCCCCAGTTTTTTTTTTGCTTTTCACAGACTCCAAGAATGCAGAAAAGTTCCATTGAATTATTGCCATCAACAGTAGCAAAAGATGAATCACTGCTTCCTGGAGGTATATTACCAGATGCTTTCCTTCGAAGTGACATCATATTTTTCATAGTAGTCAGTATGTGAGTCCTCAATCTTGAATCCCTGATATCTTTGGCTGCCTAAACAGTGAACACAACAACGACATGAATAAATTAGTTTATGGTATTCGCAACAAGTTACCATCGGAAACCCTAAAATACAAAGCTTAAAAAATTGCCACTTCATAACAACTTCAATAGGAGATCCAGCTATATGAGCTTCTGTTAAAAAACTAACCTGCCAAAAGGCACAATTACAATCAGTGTGTGGACTTATCTAAATATCATACCATATGAAATTATGAACAAACAGACAAACTAAACTGTTATGGATTATATATCACTATATCAGTAGCTCTATTAATAACACACCGATAGAAATTATTAGCACCACATATCTACAAGACAGAATTACCAGTAATTTTGATATTGCTAAACTGAGCGGAAGGTGCATAGCAACATTACCTACTTGCCTCTGCCAGTAGATTTACCAAGCTCTCCAATTGCTTCTACTGGATTCGCAAGTCCAGGTACCAATGCAGACACAAAAACAAGTTAGTTCCCCCCTAACCCTCCATCTCTACAGAGAAAACCAACAAACTGAGACCAACTGCAGGGGCGGATCCGATAACTTTTATAGCAAAACCAAATTTTGTAGGCAAGATACATGTACACGTTTGTAATTAGATCAGATCCGAGTACACGAAATAGCTTAAGCTAGGGTTTGGGTCCTCGGCATCGCACAACTGGGAGAACAGATAAGGGATGGGCATACCTATTGGTTGGTCGTCACTGGCGAAGGGTCCGGCGAAGATATGGCGAAGGGCCCGACGAAAACCTAGGCAACTGTCGTTTGATGCCGAGGACGGCGGGGGTGACCGGAGCGGGCGGCGCGTCGGCTTCAAGACAGCAGCGAGCATCGAGCGCACGGAGCCACGGGCGGGCCGGACGGGACGGCCTGTCGTCGCCGTGTGTTCCAGGTCCCGGCCCTGCCCCCGCCCCTGCCTCCATCTCCGTCGCGATGCAGCGGCCTCAGACCCAGCCCGCATCGTGGGGCCAGCCACGAAGCCGGCCAGGGGGAGAGGCGCTAATGTGGCTGCACTACGAGGGGCTCGAGAAAGTGGAGAGCGCAGCGGAGGCATCGGCGACGCGCACGAGGGAGCGGGGTGAGAAGCCTGGCATCCCACATTGAATTGTGGCCATCGGATTTGTTTAAGGTGTTTGATTAACCCTTGATTTTAATGATGCTGAATTCGTGTGTGTATTTTTCTGGGTGCCCAATGGTTGGAGGCTCCTAGCGGGGGATGTTTTCGTAGGGGGGCCTAGTATAATTTCGACTGGTCCATTATAGTAGAGATGACAGGGTAATGGCGACACCTCCAAGCTGAACATTTCTCATGAAAGGGACAGGCAGAGTGGCGGCGTTGACCCAGTCCACAGCACGCCTCCCTTGTGTGCTCTGCCCAAATTGCATACTATTATGTGCCACTCTACTCAAGAAAACAAAGTATAAATACTTAAACCAGATATCTTTTCCCGAACCAAACTAAATCAGACTAGTTTTATATTATAGGACCTAATTATATTATTACACTAGACATTATACTTTTCGACTCACACTTGTTATATATCTTAGACGCTAATTATAATATTATGCTATGTGTTTCACCCATATTTTTTTTGACCTACCTCACATGACTTGGTGCTAGTGAGAGAGTAGGAAACATTTCAAATATATGTAACGGTTACTAGTGTTATAAAACCGTTCCTCCCTTTTTTTTGTCTTTTGACGTCTTCAATAGATAAACACACTTATTCCACCCACTTTATTTTTAACCTACCTCACCCACTTTTTTTTTAACCTACCTCATGCCACGCCATGTGGTGCTCACGAGGGTGGAAAACATTCCCGATATATATAATAGTTGGCTCTGGCTCCTTCCAAACGTTTTCCTAAATGTGCTGTTTTTCAGTAAAAAAAAGATGAGTTGGAGCCATTTTGAAAAAGCCACAAATCGTGGCTCCTCAAAAATGGCTCTGGCTCCTCAAGAGGAGCCATGCCAAACATCCCCTTATTAGTCCTTAAAACCGTTCCATTCTTTTGTCGCCTTTTGGCATCTTGGATAAATAAGCACACTTACATAATAAAAATGGTATGTGTTGTTTCCACCCACGGATTTTGGGTCTACCTCATGTCATATGGAGCTCGCGGGAGTGAGATGCATTCCCGATATATATAATGGTTACTAGTGCTATAGAACCATTCCATCCTTCTGACATCTTTTATCGTTATGACTATGGCAGTGCTAGCGCTTGGACGTCGGCACTCGCTCGCTCGTGCCTGCACTCCGCATACTGCCCGACCCCACGCAGCTTCTGTGCCCCACCCGACCCTAACCCCTCACGCCCCCTCCAGCAGTTGTAACAAGCGGGTCACATTGCAACATGTGCAATGCCCGATCTAGTTTTAAAACATCTAGATGCAATACTTATAACATACATCTGAAAACAGATGAAACACCATGTGTCTGAAACACTTGGAAAAACACTTGAAAACCATTGCAAACATATACAACATCTAGATAAGACACTTACAATATATGTGTGAAACATATGCAACATCCAGATAAACACACTTGCAACATATGTCTGAAAAACAGATGAAACATTAGGAACAGACATTTGCATCATATGTGTACAACTATTGCAACATATGCAATAACATCCATACAAAACACTTGCAATATACATCTAAAACATCTAAAATACTTGAAAAGTAGCACTGTGGTAGTAGTATAAAAAGACACCTCACACCTCGGTATGTGTATCACGCACGTTGTTTTTCCACTTTTGTACACAATACGGCCACACATACACCACTTTCTACGTGTAGCAGGCACAAATACATACTCGTGCTGTGGTGTGCGTGTGCCCAAGAAAGAGGCTCCTCCCTTAAGTCCTCCCTTTTCCCTCTCCGCCTCGCCGTGCTCCTCCTCCGCGGCTCCGCCACTTCGCCGTCGCTACTTGCTTGTTCCCTCTCCTCCCCACCTCAAACACCCCGAGCCGCGCCGGAGGCACGCGCGCCGACGTCTATCCTCCCAGCGGCACACCCCATGCCCTGCATCCTCCGCCTGCCGCCGAGTCCCCCACGCCACCGCGGGCGCGCCGAGCCGTCCATGCCTGCCCGGGCTTCTTCTTGATTTTCGTCCCGCGCACGCACGCCTCCGGCTCGCTCCTCCCTATTCCTTCGCCGCGCACGCCATGCCGCCGGTGCGCGGGCGCGGGGCCAGCCGCCGCCGGATGGCGGCGGCGGAGAAGAAGGCGGCCGCCGCTGCGGGTGCCCCATCCGGTGACTGGTGGGACGCCTTCTGCAGGCGTATGTCAGGTGCGTGTGTGTCTCCCTCCCCCGTCTGCCTCTGGCTGCCCGTGGCGCTGGCTGGTGGCCGTGCGTGCCTGTCTCCGTTAGGATTTGTTGCGGATTGCGCGGTGGTTCTGGTTGCTCCCGACTGTTGGGCGGCGATTGGTAGACTGTGTCGCGTCAGGGAGGAATTACGCCGGTAATCTTGCGGGTCTGTCGATCGTGGTTGGGAGGAGTAGGCGTGATTAGTGTGGTGGTAATGCTGGAGTTGGAGCATTGCCGCTGGCCGGATTGAGGAGTGTCTGTCGTCGTATGTGTTCGGTTTTAGGTGTGAACAGTGAACATTCCAGTTTTAGGTGTGATTCCATTCTCGAATTGGACTAGGTTTGCAAGAACTGAGCACTGAGTTCTTTGTCTCTGCTCTGATTATTCAGCTGGCAGGATCGAAAAAGTTCAGTTTTCGTTTTGATGGTCTGAATTGCCTAGTGCAGCTGAATGGCTAATTGCAGGTGGTCTTCGGTCCGGTTTGACTATGACATTGGTCTTCATTGGTCCATAGGACTGATAGCTATGGCCTACAGATATGATAGCTATTTTCTTGCTTTATAAGCACGGGGTACTAGCTTTTTGATTGAGTTTGCCATGTGATTCATTAGTCCATAGGACTGATATCAACCATTCTATTTTTGCACAGTACATTGGACTTCATTTATTTCTGTTGCAATTAATTTCTCAGAAGTTGAAGGACTTCTCAAATCCTAATTTGATGAAGCAGAAACATAGCATGATGGAAGTTGTACGCAAAGGGTAGAGATGCTCTTTCTGAGAATCTTTGAGGAAGGGAGATGTCCCCCCTATTTAACACGACCAACACCAAACTTATTCTGAACTATTATTCATAAGCTAACCTTGTTTGTCCCAATTTTACCGAGCATAACTTCAAACAAGTACTTAAAAGAAACATTTTTTTATTTATAGATGTCACATAGATAACAGATGCGGTTTCAATATTACTGTTTCCTTTTGGTGCTTGACTACTCGATATCGAACTTACTTAGCAGTTACGATTTGTAGGGTTGGTTATGCCTAATTTGTTGATTATTATGACTTTCTTAATTGGTGCACTGTGGCATGTTCATAAAAGATCATAGGTTACCGTATCATTGATGGAAATTATATAGATTGAAGTTTGATCTGTACCAGAGAAATACTTTGCTGTCAAGTTTAATAAAGCTAGCTAGAACGCTCTAGTGTTTTGCATCTGTGATTACTGTGGTCTCTTTTTAACTCATTGCATGACAGCTCTTGCTTACCACTAACCAGTTATCGAAGTTATAAATTTATAACTAGTCTTATGTTTCCTTCTTATAGGAACCTTATCTTGCATCGAGGATGCACAGAGATTTGAGTCTGTATTCAAAATGCCAAGAAGAGCCTTCGACTATGTTTGCAACCTGGTGAAAGATGAAATGATGGTGAGGTCCAGCAGCTATACCTTTCTTGATGGCACAATGCTGTGTTTAGAAGATCGAGTGGCCATTGCTCTGCGGAGGCTGAACTCTGGTGGGTCACTGGTGACTGTAGGATCCTCAGTTGGAGTGAACCACTCAACCGTGTCGCTGATTACTTGGCGATTCATTGAGGCTATGGAGGAGCGAGCGAGTCACCACTTGCGCTGGCCAGACTCTGGTGAAATGGAGAAGATCAAGTCCAAGTTTGAGAAGATCCATGGCCTGCCAAACTGCTGCGGCATTGTGGATACAACATACATCACAATGTGCCTTTCATCAGCTGAACCGAACTGCAAGGTCTGGCTTGACCAGGAGAAGAATTACAGCATGGTTTTGCAAGCTATTTTTGATCTGGATATGAGGTTCACAGACATAGTGACTGGGTGGCCTGGTAGCATGAAAGAGTCGAGCATTTTGCACAGCTCCGGCCTTTTCAAGCTCTGCGAGAAAGGTGAGCGGCTGAATGGCACCAAGCTGAAGGTATCAGATGGATCAGAGATTGGGGAATACTTGATCGGCGACTCAGGCTACCCCCTTCTTCCCTGGCTGCTCACACCATACCATGAGAAGGACCTCATAGAGTCCAGGGCTGAGTTCAACAGCAGGCACTCTGCAGCGAGAACAGTCGCTCCAAGGACACTGGCCAAGTTCAAGGACACATGGAAGTTCCTGCAGGGGGAGATGTGGCGTCCGGACAAGCACAAGCTGC